AAAATTACAGCTTGATGTTCAGAATAAGGAAGTTTCATTGGCCAAAATATACTGGCTTTATCGTACTATTCGTGTGTTTCATTGGCTTAGCCACCAACCTGCCAATCGCAGGCCGGCCCACACGTCCGGGTTAACTGAGAAAACTAGCTATCTCTGAGCTGGTTTCCTTGGCGCGCGGCTGCGCGCCAGTCATGCAATTCATGTCAAATGAATGGTGCTGCTGCGGATGTCGCAGAGCCAGTGATTCGAGACACTTGGATTGCCAAGTGTCCTCTCGGGTCAGGATTGGAACTGACCAATGAGATGCCGTGTCCGGATGTTATCCGGACCCCGTTACATCCTCCCACACTCAAACTTGATTTCGGTATACTTGGCCCAGTGTGGGACAGGGATTGAGAATTCGGAACAATCGTTGGAGAATTCAGAACAACCGTTGTCGTCGGTAGTCATTGTGACAAAAGCGACGAAAGCGAAGGATGAGCACCTTCGGAGCGTCTAACTGGGGCGCCGATGACGGCGGCAATGGTGGCGGAGCCCGGAACGTAGCCACGAGCGCTCTGGACCGAGCGCACGCTCTCCGTCGCGGAAGCGACGGTGCGACGATGACCGAGGGCGAGCATACCGGCAGAGCATGCCGGATTTTGTGGTGACCTCGGTAAGTGCGGACGATGTTTTCGTCTGCAAGGATTGGACTCTCCCAGATGTGGGAGACGCGGACTACCCGATGGACCGGGTGGTGTCCGGAATGCGAGCGTTGGCTCGAAGCGCGGAAGAGTATGCGCGCATGGAGGAGTGTCGAGCTCCACGCAGCGATGCTGCGACAATTCCTCGATGGCGTCGAGGTGGCCGTCAATGTTCTCATTGACATGCGGCCGTGGCGTGCGGCAGCGATGGAGTTCGCTGACCTTTGCGGCGAGCGCAAGTACCGTGGCGAGATCATGGCCAATGTGCGGGTCGCTCCACTGCAGGAGGAGACCTTTTGGGAATACGTTGGGCTTTAGTGGGCACGCCTTGTGTGAAAGATGCCAGTGCCGAACGCATTCCACTACCAGTAGAAGCTGGTTGAACACTAAGAAAGTTTTGCTAAGTGTCGTGCAGAGCTGCCTCGGCTTGGATGGGATTTTGTCCACCAGATCTCCGAGTACTGTCGAACTCGCGACAGAGAGCACGGAGAGGTGAGTTGGCTGGTATATCCAGCTCTGAAGACCATTGTGTAGGACCATGGGATGCCGCGATCAGATACTCGCGGCCATCAGGGGCCCAACGAGAGCCCTTCACCACGAACTCGTGGTGCGGCAGATGCAATCGCTGACGTCGCCCACGACGTGTTGAGGCGTTTGGTTGCTCTTGAGGTGCGCTCGGCGCAGCATGACGCCGTGGTCGCTCGCTTGTCTGCAGTTTAGCGGAAGTTGAAGGGGCATCGCGTGACGCGACTGGAGCACGATACCGTGCTTGAACGATTGGCAGCTGTCGAGCGCCTGATGCAGGTGACCCCTCCGACATTTGGGTCGGAGGCAGAGGTCCTGCATCGCTTGTCGCGGGCTGAAGCGACGCTGAAACGGCACCCGAAGCCAGAACACTTGGAGGAGTGGCGTGTGCGGGCGGAGGTGGTTGCTGGCGCAACAAAGTCTGCTATTGGAGACCTTCAAGGTCGGGTCGTGAAGGTTGAAATTGCCCTGCAACGGTTGCAGGAGGATCAGTGAGATGCGCTGAAGAGCGTTCGTGAGGAGTCTCAGCGTCTTTGTGACGTGACTCGTCGCGTCTTGGAGATGGAGGTGCGCGTGGAGCATCTGCTGGACACTGTTTCCCATCCGACTGCGCGGCCTCGCCGTCGATAAATCGGGGTAAGTGGCGCTTGATCTTGCCGACGTAGAACGTCGTGTGTATTCGCCAGTCATCTGGCAGGTCGAGTTTCATTGACGTTGGACTGATGACTTCTTTGATAGGGAAGGGGCCAATCCAGGGGACCTGGAGCTTTGGGTTGCGTAGGACCGTCGGAGGCGCCGCCGACTTGTGGAGATAGACTAAGCCAACACAGAACGTATTGGTGTTCTTGCGACCGTGCTTGTTGGCCTGATGGGCTTGCTGATGTTGCGCATGGGCGATATTGTCGCCAAGTTGGCGCATAATGGAGCTGCGGAGGCGCAGAAATTCTTGGATCGACGCTGTCGTGCGTAGGCCAGGGGAGATTCCTCCCACACTCAAAGTAGACACACCGGTGTCAGTGGGAAGACAGGGGTGACGCAGATGGTTTGCGTAAAACGGGGAAAACCCCGTGGAGGCGTGGACCGAGGAATTGTAAGCAAACTCCACTTGGTGGAGTAGGGAACTCCATGTGCGAGGTTTCGACGCAGCATAACTGCGGAGCAC